GCACTGGCAGACAGAATGGCAGGCAGAGGCAGAGGGAGAAGCAGGCTCCCTGATGAGCAAGGAGCCCGATGTGGGACTCGATCCCAGGACGCTGGGATCATGACCTGAGCCGAAGGCAGCTGCTTAACCAACTGAGCCACCCAGGCATCCCTTCTTTGTCCTTTTTTAGAAGATAGTTCCTTGACAATCTTAATCTCTTTCTTAGGTTAAGTTTGTCAATTTTTATTTTTCTAGAAAACACCCAGGTTTTCAGATTTATTTACACAAAGTTTTCATAATTCTTTTAATTTCCTCTGGAATGCCTTGGGTGGCTCAGTTGGTTAAGTGTCTGTCTGCCTTTGGCTCAAGTCATGATCCCAGGGTCTTGGGATTGAGTCCCACATGGGACTTCCTGCTCACAAAGGAGCCTGCTTCTCCCTCTCCCTCTGCGGCTCTCCCTGCTTGTGCTCTCTCTTTCTCTGACAAATAAAGGCTTTTTTAAAAAAAACTCTTTTAATTTCCTCTGTGTTAGTGACAATTTTCCCCTTCTTGTTTTTAATTTTTACATTGGGATATTTCAAATTGATTTTAGGTTGTCTGAAGAGGAGTTATATCTGCCAAACTAAATTTGTACCGAGAGATACAAGGTTGTTTAGCAAACACTCTGGTAGAGATGACATAAACATGAAAAGAACTTTAGCTTAAGAATTTTTTTTTAAGTCTATTTTTGGAAACAACTGAGAGGCAAAGGCATTCAGTGGGGACTTGAGTGCATTGAAACCAGCGGTGCAGGCTTTACCCAGCATGCTCCTCTCCCATTCTGCCATACCGGATAAACCCGGTCTGCCCCCCACCCCCAGTCTCCTCAGTGCAATTCAAACTATTCAAACTGAGGGATTTGGGTTAAAGAGATTAAGGATTTGCAAAGAGTTAGAATTACAATAGATCATTCTGAATCACAACCCTGGCAAGGAAACAACACTGGGTAATCTCTTGAAAAAACAGAAAATCAGAATGACCAATGATACCACCAAAAGAAAAAAAAAAACCTCTTCATTTCACTTTGCTATCTTATGGGGGTTCAGTTCTAAAGCAGGCATGCAGGGCTACACTCCAGTCTTGCTACGTTAAGTATTCTCCTTCTGCAGGGAGTGTAGAACACCAGTATATAAATAATTGCTGCTTGAAATGGAAAAATAAAATAAAAAAGGGTGTGAAAAAAGAGAAAATTGTCCCCAGTAACAATCCACCCCCTCGCAGCTGTAAATTACTCATTAGTCGTTAATGTCACTGTACGAGCTGGAGCTGAGTCAGCCGCCGCCCAGGCTGCAGTGAAGCCGAGTTCGTCTCCCTCATCTTTCATTACAGGGCTTTCACGCCATGCATCAGTACCGGAGGAAAGACCAATGCTTTGTAGCAGGAATTCCATCCAAGTTGACTCTAGAGCAATTTGGTTCCAAGCGAATCAATTACTCTTAGTAAAAACAAGAGAAGGAATTCCTTTCTTGCCAATTTTCTATCAAAAATGATCTAGAAAAAAAATGATCCAGAAAGAGAGAGGAAGAACAGATATATTTACTTTTATATCTGCCTCAAGTTCTCTGGGATCTCGTTATTCTTATTCATTAATATATGCTCTGTTCCTTATGCACCATGTTTAAAGGCAAATGCTTAAAATAGAACAAAGTGAAATATTAAAATTCATTAACAATTTTGAGTAGTAATTCCTAATTTTTTAAAAAGATTTTATTTATTTATTTGACAGACAGGGATCACAAGTAGGCAGAGAGGCAAGCAGAGAGAGAGAGGGAGAAGCAGGCACCTTGCTGAGCGTGGAGCCCTATGTAGGACTCTATCCCAGGATCCTGAGATCATGACCTGAGCCGAAGGCAGAGGCTTAACCCCCTGAGCCACCCAGGCACCCCAGTAATTCCTAATTTTTACAAAAATTGCTATTTCCTTAGATCCTGTCAAATATGTATAAGCCTAATATGTTAATAAATATGCCTTCATTAATAAAGCCTCTTAGGAGCGCTTGAGAACCTCAGTGGTTAAGCATCTGCCTGGGCTCAGGTCCTGATCCCAGGGTCCTGGGATCAAGCCCACGTCGGGTTCCCTGCTCCTCAGGGAGCCTGCTTCTCCCTCTCCCTCTGCCTGCCGCTCCCTCTGCTTGTGCTTTCTCTCAAATAAATAAAATCCTTAAAAATAAACAAACAAATAAATGAATGAATAAATAAATAAAGCTTCTTAATTTGCCTGGAAGAAAGATGTACAGTGATCCATGCAATTAAATCACATGTTACATAGTTGTCATGTAGAACTCTCCTTATTTATTGGTAGAAATAAAATTTAATAGGGGCACCTCGGTGGCTCAGTGGGTTAAGTCTCTGCCTTCAGCTCAGGTCATGATCCCAGCTTTCTGGGATCGAGCCCCGCATCATCGGGCTCTCTCCTCAGCAGGGACCCTGCTTCTTCCTCTCTCTCTGCCTGCCTCTCTGCCCACTTGTGATCTCTGTCAAAAAAATAAATAAAAAATCTTTTAAAAAATTAATTAATGAGAAGTTTTGTTACAACTGATTTAATTTTTATATGATTTTTTTTACTTGGATTCTTAAAGGTAAGCTAAATATTTGAAGTATGTCTTGCTCAAACTCTCTCCCCTCCCTCTCTCATCTTTTCTGTTGTGTCTTCACACTTCTCACTTTACTCTTTCCACTTATCTAGGCATTTTATTTATTCTGTTAATATTCTGATATTATCAGACCATATTCTGATAATAGTTATATTAATCTCTTGCTCCAATTATATTTTCAAAATATACCTGTATTTTTCTTTTTCCCTCCTTTTTTTTTTCATTTTAAAGACTGTATTTATTTATTTGTCAGAGAGAGAGAGGGCATGAACGAACACAAGCAGGGGGAGCAGCAGGCAAAGGGAGAAGCAGGCTCTCCCCCAGGGGAAGGAGCCCAATGCGGGTCTCAATCCCAGGACCCTGGGATCATGACCCGAGCAGGTGCTTAACCGACTGAGCCACCCAGGCGTCCCTTTTTCCCTCCTTTTATTGACGAGTTTGAAATACATGCATTTTTTTCTCTTGCTACCACTATAAAATCAACAAGTGGGTAAACATAATTAGATTTCATATGTGTAGACATTCTCTGTGGGTTACTATACATGAGAATATTTTAATATTTTTAAACAAATAATGTAGAAAAGGTACTCACCCACAGTCCCTTCTGTGCCATCTGTTTCCTTTGGGATATAATGTGCAGAAAGATCACTCTGAAGGACTTCGTCTGATGTGGCTCTGGCTAAAGCAGCAGCCAAAAAGGAAGGGCAATTACTGAAATAAAAAAGGCCTATTTCAGTAAGAATTAGGAAATAATACACTTGATATTATTACCAATTATTAACATATCTGTCTCAAAACAAAATTGTGTCTTTAAACACTATTCAACACATATTTATTGAGTGCATATTATGTGCTATACACTCTACCTTGGCTCTGGGTATACACTGGTGAGTAACACAGACATGGCCTCTGACCCAGTAGGGCTTAAAATCTAGTTAGGGAGACAGATGATAAATAAGTAAACAAACAGGACACAACTTAAAATTGGGATGTTTTATAAAAGAAACAAACAGGGTACAGAATTATAGAAGGGGGATGGTCAGGAATCCATATCTTGAAGGATAAGAAAGATTCGGTTCTGTGGATGGGAAGCTGGGAGAGAATATTCCAGGCAGAGAAAACAGCATGTATACAGATCCTTTCTGAGAGCCTGGTATGTGTGAAGAACTGAAAAAGCCCAGAGAAGATGAAGTATGGTGGATAAAGAGGGAAGATAGCAGGGAATAAGGTCAGAGGGACTGGCAACAGCCAGTTATACGAACCATATAGATCATGGAAAGGAAAGTGATTTCACTCAAAAGTGCACTGGGAAGCTACTGAAGGTTGTGAGCAAGAGTATGCCATACCCAGACATATTAATTAAAATATGACTTTGACTGCTGTGGTAAAGGAAATCGGAAAGAATGAGGAGGGTGGCCAATAAGGAGATTGTTGTAATCCAGGTGAAACTGAAAAAAAAAATTAGTATATTCTAAAAAAAGAAAATACAGAACTTGCTGATTATTAGAATATAGAAATAAAAGAAAAGAATTAAGGCTGAGTCCTGGGTTTTGGTCTGAGCAACTAGATGAATGGTGGCATCATTCACCTAGACGGAGAAACCAGGAAAAGAACAGGTTTGTGGAAGCAAAGGGTATAGAAGAAAACAAGAGTTAATTTTAAAGCATATTAAGTTGGAAATACCTTTGAGATACCCTAATGAAGGTATCAATGAAGTGAAAGTTATTAGACATTGTAGTGTGGAGCTCAGAGATGATAGGAAATTTGGAAGTCATCAATGTATGGATGATATTTAAAACTACTGAAATAGACTGCATCACATAGGAAGAAATTATAAAAAGAGAATTGCCTCTTGTTTTCCAAACCCTTTCAGAATAGGAAAGTTATCTCATGCTTCACCACTGTATGTTGGGGAGTTCTAGGAAGGGTTTAGTTTTTTTTTTTAAGATTTTATTTATTTATTTGACAGATCACAAGTAGGCAGAGAGGCAGGCAGAATGGTGGGGGGCGGGGAGCAGGCTTCCCTCTGAGCAGAGAGCCTGATGTGGGGCTCAATCCCAGGACCCTGAGATCATGACCTGAGCCAAAGGCAGAGGCTTAACCCACTGAGCCTACCAGGTGCCCAGATAGTTTTCTTCTTTTAGTCACCACATTTTTATATCAAGTGGAATTATACTGAAGGAGCTTTCATCAAGAAATTGTACCCAAGGAATCTCACCTGCACTTGACCTCACTGAGTTCCTAAACCTTTAGCCTGAGCCTGAGGCCATTAAGGGATGGAACTTTGGGAGACTTTATGGGGGGTGGGAGTTAGGGGAGTGTATTTTATATGTGTGAAGGATGTGAATTATGTGGCCAGAACAGACATGGCAGGGGCACCTGGGTGGCTCAGATAGTTAAGCAGCTGCCTTTGGCTCGGGTCATGATCACCATGTCCTGGGACTGAGCCCTACAGCATCAGGCTCCCTACTCAGTGTGGTGTCTGCTTCTCACTCCCCCTGCCCTTGTGCTCTCACTTGTTTTCTCTCTCTCTCAAATAAATAATTAAAATCTTTTAAAAAATAAAATTAAAATTAAAAAAATAACAGATTTGGCAGATTGTTTTTCTAAAACAGGCCACAACAATATTCTCGTAGCTGGTACAGCTGCTTTGGTAGTTCCTTAAAAATGCTGAAGTTCTTACATAGCCCAGCAATTCCCCTTACATACATCAACACAAAAACATGTACCTGAATGTTCATGGCAGCATTATTCATAATAGCCAAACAGTAGAAACAACCAACCAACCAATCAACTGATTATGGATAAATAAAAGCAGCACATTCATACATGCTACAATGTGGATAAACCTTAGAAATAATATGGCAATAGAAGCCAGTCACACAACTTCTAAGCCTGAAATCACAAGGGATCAGCCTCTGATCCCAGAGACACAGCAGTCCACACTAGAAACATAAAGCCTGTGCACAGGAGCCCAGTGAAAGTAGCCCAGTTAACAAACACCTTGACCTTACTTTCTTCCCATCTTCTTAACTTCTGCTAGTGCCTTCCACAGGGGAAGCAAACTGAAAAACAGGGAACAAAGAAGGCACCCAGGACAAGAATCAAAGCTGAGATGTATAGGGAGTGGTTTAGGGAAGAAAAGAAAGTTATCTAGTACAGTGGTTAAAAAATTCATTTTCAGTGAAAGTTTACCTTTCCACATATCACACAAGTGAGATTATATTTAAAAGTCTGACCATTGGAAATGAAATTAGATAAAGGAAGAAAGGACTTCATGTGCCTCTTAGGCAAGGGAGGGAGTAAGATGGTAGGTAGAGGTAATTCTTAATGTCTTTTTGATATTTTCTATGTTTACCAAATTCTCCTTATAAAACAAACACTAAGTTTGAAATAAAAGTTGAGATTTAATAAAATGGTTAAAAAAAAAAAAAGCCAGTCACAAAAGACCACATACTCTATGATTTCATTTATATAAAAAGTCCAGAATAGGCAAACCTACAGAAACAGAGTATAGCAGCAATAGCCTAGGGCAGAGAGGTGAGTTGAATAGGGAGTAACTGCTGATGGGTAGGAGGTTTCTTTTTGCAGTATGAAAATGTTCTGAATCTTGGATTGTAGTTAGTGATGGCTAAACAATTATGAATGTACTAAAACCACTGAACTGTGTACTTTAAATGGGTAACTTTTATGCTGTGTGAATTACATCTCAATAAAGATGTTCAAAAAATCATTGACTTTGTTAAGAACATTGAATAGTGGAGGTGAAAATAAGATCAGAATGGGTAAGTGGGAGGCAAGGAGGTGTGGCAATAACTGAAAGGGCATTTGAGGACAGGGCCGGTTCTTATTTTGGCATGGTATAGAATGTGACCTTTTACTAAATGAAATAATCTAGTAGAGAAAGACTAAAGATAATGCAGGAAATGGGGTATGACCAAAGGAGTGAAGCTCCTGAGAAGGCAGGAAGAGGAGAGATCCAAAACATATCTGGAAATTGCTGACCTTTGATAGCATAAGGAACATTTCACCAGTTGGAAAAGAAAGGAAGAAAATGGATAAAGATGCAGGGAGGTTTCTAGATTTCTTAGTAGGAAAATCAGAGAGTTCCCATCTAAAGGTTTGCGTCAACAGTAGCTTATTGAGGCTTACAGTGTTTGAGGCACTGTTCTGGTGCTCAGGATACAAAAGACCAAAAAAGACAAAAACTCCTGCCTTTGGAACACTCATGCACTGTTGGTGAGAATGTAAACTGGTACAGCCACTACAGAACACAGCATGGAGGGTCCTCAAAAAATTAAAAGAGATCTCATACAACCTAGTAATTCCATCTCTGAGGATTTACCCAAAGAAAGCCAAAACACGGATTCAAAAAGATATACATAGCCTTATGTTTGTTGTAGCACCATTTACAACAGCTAAGATAAGGAAACAACCTAAATGTCCATCCACAGATGAACGGATAAAGAAGGTGTGGTATATATACAATGGAAAGTTAGCTATAAAAAAGAATGAAATCTTGCCATTCACGGTAACATGGATGGACCTAAGTGAAATAAGTCAGAAAAAGGACCATATGATTTCACTTATTATGTGGGATCCAAAAAACAAATGAACAAACAAAAAAACCAGAAATAGACTCATAAATACAAAGAACAAAGTAGTGGTTGCCAGTGGAGAGGGAACTGGGAAGGGGTGAAGGGGATTAAAAGGTACAAACCCCCAGTTATAAAATCAGTGTCATGGGGATGAAAAGTACAGCATAAGGAATACAGTCAATATTGTACTAAATTTGTATGGTGACAGATGGGTTACTATATGTGGCGAACTTTTCATAATGTATAATTGTTGACTCACTGTGTGGTTTACCTGAAACTAACAACTATACTTTTAAAACAAAAGCAAAAATAACCCATCTCTGGAGCTTCCATTCTGGAGAATGGCTTCTCAATGAAGTATAGGGTTAGATCAGTAGTTCCCAAACTTTTACAGGCATCAGCATCAAGGCTTGTTAAAACACAAATTGCTGGGCCCCATCCCCAGAGTTTCTGACTCGCTAGGTCTTAAGTATGACTTCAGAATTTTCATTTTTAACAAGTTTCCAGATGAGGTGCATGCTGCTGGGCTAGGGACCACACTGTGAGAACCAGTGGGTCAGGTTATCAACTGGGTGGTGAGGATACACGTATATGGGGCAGGAGGGATGAAGAGAAAGTAGGTATGAAACAGTCATGTCAGAGAGTAGGACTGTCACTGCTAAAACACTGAGACAATTTTTAAATAAAACCAGTCTTTCTGGTTGTACAATTTTCTCCATCTATGTCCATGAGCTGGAAAATGTGTTGGTAAAAAAGAACTAATTCATTAAGGTTTGGGATTTTGCAAGGTGAGTATTAACAGGTGAAGAAGAAACACTGAAATTTAGTATCTTTTTAAGCATGTGATTACAGTGTTAGACCATGAACGTTAAATGGGTTAAGAAAGAACAGACATGAATGGTAAATCAGGTGGTCTAAATGTAATTAAACAACTAGTGGGAGTACTTGGGCACACAACCTAGAAAGATGAAGTTTTGTAGTCTGAGAATAGGATGCTTGTGTATGGGATTTTTGGATCCAGAGCAGTATTTGTGGTAATAAGGTTTAGGTGAGACCAAGAAAGTGAGTGGTTGAGTGTTCAGAAACAAATAAAATGGCAACGTTTATATTTGA